GAGAGGAAGTTGTGGGTGTCACAGGGAGAGGAAGTTGTGGGTGTCACAGGGAGAGGAAGTTGCGGGTGTCACAGGGAGAGGAAGTTGCGGGTGTCACAGGGAGAGGAAGTTGTGGGTGTCACAGGGAGAGGAAGTTGCGGGTGTCAGTGAGAGGAAGTTGTGGGTGTCACAGGGAGAGGAAGTAAAGGAAAATCTCCCCAATGGGGTCACAGACAGAAATAAAAACCTGACAGAAGTTTTAGCTCCTCCTCTTATATAATGTACGAGGACACGGCCCGGGGAGGTGATGGCCCAGGCGAGCTTACAGCAACGACATTGGCACTCCCAGGGCTGGTACTCCCAGGCTACAGGGGGGGCAGTTGGTGAGATCTCCCGGCGGCTGCGGCGAGCCCTCGGACCTCCTCGTACGTCTCCTGGAAGGACAAGGATGCCGTTGTGCCTAAATCACGACCCTCAACCAGCACCCTTCACTGCACAGCCAGTAGCCGACCCCGAACGCGGCGTGGAGGGGCTCGGTGAAGGTGGCGGTGAAGGTGTGGAGGAGGCGGATGGGGTCGGAGAGTTCATAGAAGGAGACCCGGCCGGCCTCGTAGTCCAGGCAGATCCTGAACGTGGTGGAGGAGAAGCGGTGGGGCGCGGTGGTAACGTTGCCGTCGTGCATCGCCGAGTATTGGTTCTGGTAGAGTTTCCGTAGACACCAGGATTTGCCGCTGTCCCCGATGTAGGACCGCTCACCCCGCCGCTCCACGCTCTGATAGGCCACCCCGATCCTCCAGTCCCCGGACTCGCTGGTCTCCACGTCCCAGGAGTGCTGACCCGAGGAGAACCTCCGAGAGCTCAGAACCTGGTTGTACTGGAACCGGACGGGGGTTTCCGGGCGCTTCTGGTACGCCGCCGACCACGTCAAGGTCTTCAGGTCGGGAGACACGCGGACATTATTGGCCGCCGTGGTGACGTCCAGGACGAGGTCCTCACACACATGGTCTGCGTCCAGAGTCCCGGAGACCAGACCCCGATACAGATCTTCCGCGGCCTCGTCCTCGGCGTTCCCCCAAACCTCCGGCTCATGGTCCAGTAGGACGGTGAGAGGATCGGCCTCATCACACAACCGGGCGACGCGACCGATCTTCCCGGTGAGATCCATCTTCTTCAATTCCAGCTGCCGGATCAGATCGGCCATCAGCAAGGAGGCCTGCTGCTCCCGGACGAGCCGCCGGTGTTCCCACAACCTGTGGATCTTCTTCTCGTTGTCCTCGCGCTCCGACGTCAGCTTCTGGAGGACTTCCCTCAGGTCCTCCTTCTTCTTCTCCGAGGCCTCCTCCAGGGACTCGGCTCGGTGGCCCCGGTGCTCACCGTCCAGCCTGCAGGACACACAGATACACGCCGAGTCCTCTCTGCAGAAATACTTCAGGACTTCCTTGTGAGCCGGACACTTCCTGTCCTCCCGGGTGGCCCCGTGCTCGGCTAGGATGTGTTCTGGTGCCGTGCTGTGGACTTGCAGGTGATCGGCACACAGAGAGGCCTCGCAGTGCAGACAGGACTTGAGCGCGGGCACGGCGGAGCGGATGCAGTACGTACAGTGGACTCCGCCGCCGGCGGCCTCTCTTCTCGGGGAGGATCGGTAATGTGTCACCACGTTGCACAGAGTTATGTTCTTCTGCAGAGCCGGACGTTGCGGGAAATGAGCTCGGCAGTCGGGGCAGCTGGGGACCCCAAACTGGGTGTCCAGGAAACGGAGGATACAGGCCCGGCAGAAGTTGTGACCGCACGGCAGAGTGACCGCGTCCGTGTACATCTCCAGGCAGATGGAGCAGTTCAGTTCCTCCGTCACAGACGCCATGGCTGAGGAACCGGAAGTGGTGAAAAAGAATTGGATCTGTAATCGGTGGAGGCCGCGATGTCATCACCCGGCAACACGTTCCGCGAGAGGCCAGCAATCCGCGTATGCTGCGGCGGAGGATTCAGATGAAGATTCCGGTTTGTTGTGATTGAGTGGTATCAAATCTTGGTGAGATATTAATAATAGGGCGGCGTCTGAATTATACTTGGATGTAATAGGCCACGCCTCCAGCCCATTACGGCAAATAATAAATAACAACCAGTATGGATTCGGTTCAGACGCCTGATAACGCGCCGCAAACCACTTCC